CATTACGTTTTCCATTTTAAGAATAAATCTTCTTGGTGCGTGTGATTTTCTGTTTCCTAAAAGGTCACAAACTAACTAACTCATAGCCAGAACGAAAGCCGACGTTAGCGTCCGTCGCAACGCGGTCGCAGGTAATAACCGGAACGTATTTAGCACCAACAAAACGCTTACAGGCGTTCAAAATAGCACCCACCGGTAACTCTATGAAAATTGTCGTGTGCCATGCATGTAGAAGCGGTTTCGCAGAACGAGCAACTCCTAACATCATCGGAAAATGCTCGATCAACAGCAAGGCCCTCAATAAGACAATATTGACTAACGATAAGTGATTAAAAGAAGAGCAACCATAACATCCCTAGACAAAAATTTTCAGTCTCTCAGAGTCTTTCAGCGTCTCCGGGAGCGTCTCCCACAGTCTTTCACAGTCTCTCAGTTATTGCCTAGGTGTTTTTATCGATCTCTCACAGTCTCTGTATGAGAGACTCGAACGATAAAATTGTTAATTCAGAGATTGGAGTCTCTTACAGAGAGACTGAATGAATAAAACTGAAAAATTGAGAGACTCGAGTCTCTCGTAGAAAGACTGGGATCTCTGAAATATGTTGAACTTTTAAANCACCAGTTGCGAAGATTGAGAATGATTCATATTTTTCTGTTTGAAGTGATTCAGATATAGTTTTTCTATCTTTATGTTATAGTTTCTTCAGTTCAGCAACAAATAATTCTTCTATGTACTTCTTTATTTACCTTTGTCACCCGTTTTAATTGCAAAAAAGACACTAATGCCAAAATAGTTTGTTTACCGTGAAAGATCAGAGCAAATAATTTTATTGATGTAAAAACAACATCAAAGATTTCAAATCAAAATATTTACGACCACATTTTGTTTCCAATCTTTTACATATTGTAAAAAGAGAAAGAAATGGAATCCATAGTTTCTTTAGCTTTGGGTTCATCTAGTAAGTGAAGTTTTTCGAATCGTTTTCAAAGACTTTTGGATTATAGGCATTTATTAGCACACCTTGCGGGCTGGTTTGTCGTAATTAATAGAATTGCGTAGTTTCTTGTAAAGGTACAACAAGTGGTTATTTGACAGATGCTGATCAATATGAAACATTAAAATTCCATGGACCATGACACTGAACCCAGAAAATAATGTCGATCCAATATTTTAGATTATCCATTTCCAAGGAGATTTTTGCGATCTCTTCAGTTAAAGAATTAGAAGGCATTCATGGAATGTCCCTTTGTACCGTTTTGAAGCTTCTAATACCCTCAACAGCCAATGTGAACAATTTTCATTCATCATTACTAGCAAAACTTTTAACGGAAAAAATGTATTTTGCATTTTACAAATAGAAATAACGTTTGGAAAACTATTTTAAATAAAATACAGAATGCTTTTCTCAAAAGAGTATTTGAATGCAAGATAAAAATAGGTGTTTTTTATTTTGTAATTGCATTTTAAATACATGTATTTCAAGTAAATCGCGTATCTGTTTATGACGATAATGATGACGATCGCCATCGTGATTATTAAGTTTTCTAAAGTATCTAGGCTTCAAAAACTACCGTTAAATGTTTGTTTAAACTTCGCTGGACGCTAAACAGTCCAGTTTTCCTCATAATTAACTGCCAAATATTTGCGTTATGTTTTAGCTCTCTTTAGATTCTTCCTACAAACAGAACAAAGTTTCAAAATTATTATGATCGGTAATTTATAGAAACTGCTAGACTTGATAGTTATGCCAAGAATATGCAAATTTTGGGAAATTGTTTTCCTATCTATATTCGTTTGTAAGGACAAATTTGAAGTCGTGTAAGGTTTGTAAAATGCACAGTCAATGAACTGCAGTTGTAGTGCGAAGAAAAAAGCGAAAAATGTAAAAGCATAGTAGGAACCTCCAGGCAAAATGTCTGGCCGGTACATCTTAAAATAGCACGTTTTAGAGTGGGTAATGTGCAAAACCCGGGATTGCTAATTACTACTCGAAACAAACCAGATTAGCGGAGATTACATCTTTAAGATGAAAACAGTCTGATTCGACACGCAAATGCACCTAAAGTACATACTGCAATTACGGCGATGAAATAAGAACGAAAAAAGTGAATTTATGCTCTACGAGCACTATTCGCTTAAGGTAATGGTAAATGCGGTAATTACGGCATCTCGCAACAAATAAATATTATGTAATTTAAACTGATAGAACGGATATTACTTCGATGATATATTACTACCTGACAACTTATCACTGGCAGTCATGGAATTATAGAATTCTAATTAATTGTTTCTTCTATTTTGATAAACTACTTTACAAATCCTGTACATATAGGTACAGATACATAAGTAAGTGTAAAAGCAAAACGGTACTGCGGCAACTAAGTATCTACATAATACCATGTAATAACTGAAAATTAGTACCTAACTTTGTTGCTAGTTAATTATTGAATTTATTATTAGACTAGCGACCCGCCCCGGCTTCGCACGGGTGCAATGCTGATACTAAATATACTACAGAATGTCTTTATATACAACGTTCAGAGCTTAATGCTGTATTGCTTAAAATCGCTTCGTAAATAAGCCGTTATTTCTTTTAAAAAGTAAAGAATAAAAATGGTTATTGTGGGTTATCCCTAAGAGATAGACATATTAAGGTATACAATACTGTAGTACATTATTTTGATCTATCTTGTAGGGTTCAGCCATCGTTTGCAATGTATGCGCAAAAAAATGTGTTTATTTACGACATCACATTAAAAACCTCTAAAATTATCAGTGTTTCTCTGCTATATTATGCATGTACTATACATATAAACCTTCCTCTTGAATCACTCTATCTATTAAAAAAAACAGCATCAAAATCCGTTGGGTAGTTTTAAAGATTTAAAGATACATAGGGACAGACAGACAGACAGCGGGAAGCGACTTTGTTTTATACTATGTAGTGATGCATCTACACAATTTTCACGTTTTTCTTTTTTCTTAATTTATACATTTGTACCCAGTTAACTAACCAGAACTAACTAATTAAATAGAAGGAGATGAATTAACGACATTGTTTTTACAACATATGTATAAATTATTGCTTACCAATAATACTCACTACAATTTTGTGTACTCTAGTTTCATGTCAGTATCTAAATAGTGAGACGAAAATTGTTGATTTAGTTTCTATATACGAGGGTGGATTGATAAGTTTCCGGCCTGACCAAGAAAAACAAGGTTTTTAAAAATTTTTTTTTTTTATTTCTCAACATAATCTCCTCCAAGGCTGATACATTTCTCATAGCGGTGTTCCAGTGTATTAATGCCATCTCTATAGACTGATTCGTCAAGCTCCTCAAAATAACCATTTACAGCTTCGATTACTTCTTCATTGTCCGCAAATCTCTTACCGCCAAGCCATTTTTTGAGATTAGGGAACAGAAAATAGTCACTCGGGGCTAGGTCTGGAGAGTAAGGAGGGTGCGGCATCAATTCAAACTTTAGATCGTTGATTTTAGCCGTCGCAACGATTGACGTGTGCGCTGGTGCGTTATCGTGATGAAACAAGATTTTTTTCTTCGCCAGATGAGGTCGTTTAATTTTCACCTCGTGGCTCAAACGTTGCAATAAGTCTGCGTAGTATTGACCAGTGATAGTATTACCCTTTGCAAGGTAATCAATGTATATAATACCTCTTGCATCCCAAAAAACAGTAGCCATAACCTTGTTCGCCGAAAAAATTGTTTTTGCCTTCTTTGGAGTTGGTTCCCCTGGTCCAATCCACTGTTTAGACTGTTCTTTGGTTTCAGGAGTGTAGTGGTGGACCCACGTTTCGTCAACGGTTACGAATCGACGCAAAAATTCGCTTGGATTACGCTTATACAATGACAAATTTGCGGTAGAAATGTTTTTTCGAATCAATTTTTGGTCGACTGTTAGCAAACGCGGCACCCATCTTGCACAGAGCTTTTCCATATGCAAATGTTGGTGCAAAATATGTTGCACACGTTCATATGACATCTTACAGGTCTCAGCTATCTCACGCACTTTCAATCTGCGGTCTCCCAGCACTATTTGATGAATTTTTTCGATCATATCTGGAGTTGTGACCTCAACGGGGCGTCCTGAGCGAGGCCCATCAGAGGTGCTCACACGACCCTTTTTAAACTCGGAAACCCACTGCTTAACGGTTGAATATGACGGGGAGGATGTCCCCAGTGTTGAGTCCATCTCTTTTTTAATTTCCTTCGGCGTTAACCCCTTCAAATAAAAGTATTTGATGACAGCACGATTTTCCTGCTTTTCCATTTTTACGAAAACCACAGAGGCGTCTTGTTCAGCGTGCTGTCAAACCTACACTAGCAAGGAGATCGGGCTGAAACTATAGCTACAAGCTATCCAAGGATGGTACTATAGAATGTCACCTCAAGGTAGGCCTAGTGGCGTCATCTCTTGGTTAGGCCGGAAACTTATCAATCCACCCTCGTACTTAAGGGTAAAGAAACCGCTAGGATCTAACTAATCCTATAAATGCGAATATGTTTATTTGTTTATTGTAATTTCACGCCCTAACTACTCAATCGATCGTCAGGAAATTTTGTTTACATGGTACCGAAAATGTATGAAATCTTGGAATTCCTAGGAAATGTATACAATTCCGAGGCTATTTAGGAAATCATAAAATATTGTTTCAAAGATTTCTTAATACACAGATATCCTGGGAAATGTATACATTTTCTAGGAATTGTATGAAATTCCGATATTGTACTAGGAAATGTTTAAAACTAATGTTTTCTGTGAATGAAATTTTATGTGGTCGTCGATGATTTTTGACACGTATTTAACACATCAACGCGAACGAAACCGCGGGTAAAATCTAGTAGAATTCTCACTATCTTTACGAACTTATACGAACCACCCAAGCGAAACACCCTGCAGACCGTTAGGTAGCAGTTTGGTTGAACTAATTCAGTAACAGTTATTTTAATACTAATTACATATTTTATTGTTTCAGTTTCTGCGCAGTAGTGCGTGAAAAAAGAGAAATCACCGCCTAAATATGTCGTCAACATCCGCATATCAATTTGGGTAAGTCACTAAATGCATACTACCGTTTTCCTTATTTCTGCAAAACCATATATTTTACGAAATTTTTTATTTGACAATTTTCGATATTTAGAAAATCAGATAACTGAGAATGGAAAAAGCGGTAGAAACATAAAACAAAGAGGTTCTATAAAAGTGTGCAAAGGTCACCTTAATTAACGTTAGGTACCTACGCTTACTTTATCTGCGAACAGGCTTCATCCATTCGCTCACTAACTTTATTTTGTTTGTACAACGAGGAGAAAATAATCAAATTTCCGTTTGTGCCATCAGTAACTTTTGTTGCCTTTACACGGGATCATTAAGTTATAAGTGCCCTCTCGCTCTCGGCCTTGTAATTAGTAGCAAATTATGTGCCTGTCCCGTACCACCGGGGGCACAACAACCACCACATACCTAACAACCAATGTATTAATTTACTCGATTTTGTGTCACATAGAATTTATAAAAACCTACTAAATAGACATCAATTCTGTGCCTACCTAACAGTACAGATATCTTAAAGAAATCAAGCCATAGACCTAAATAAGAGACTTAATTTTATTTTCCCTTAAAGACAGAATTGGAGATTTTTCGATATTGTGGCAAATTCCATCTTGACAATTAATTTAACTTATTACGTTCCGTATACATTATAATATCCAAAACAATCAGAGCGAAACCAGAATCTTTTAAAATGATTGACGTTTTCACCCTTAAGAGCCTAACAAAGTGAATCAAGTGGTCCCAAAAGGGTATACAAAAATTGGGAAAATATATCTAATGACAACCAAATAAGATGTCACAAAGATTCAAAAGTGATGACCTATTATCTATTTCATACATCATATGCTGTTCGGGTGGGTTAAGCCTTGTCCTTCGAGTCGGATTGTGTTCTGCATCCGGCTCGAAGGACCATATGCAGTAAACTAACAAAGGAAAAAGCCAACAGTGCTACTATACTTTCTGTTAGGGTTCGCTGCTTCCATTTGCGAAATTGACAGAGAAATCCAATGATTACAATAATCGGATTGTTAACAGCAAAACACAAATAACTTAAAGAGATATTCAAGTAACAATTACATCTGCAAAACTTTTACGAATGAATACCAAGTCATTAATTTAAGAAATAGAATGTAGCTACATGCTGTTTTTTCACTTTCAAATTTTAGGAAACTTATATTAACTCAAAGTTTTTACCCCTAAACTTAAATATGAGAATTTCAGGATGTATCTCATACTTAATAGATACACCTATCGAAAATTATTTTATTTGCTCTACTATATCCTATCACAATTAATTAATCAATTCTTAATGCATCATCTAATTGACTGTTTCTTTATTGGTCCGGTCTCCGGTGACAAGAAAAATAAAAGCATGCAGCATCAGAAGACAAACGAGATCAATAAACGATTTTCTATACGTATAATCGTGGTACAGGGCTTTCTTTTTCATAACAAGTTTTTCTACTTTTTACGACTTCGTACGCGCATCGAGTACTTAATTAACTTAAGCAATGTTGATATAAAGGTACTTCTCTGCGTTTCAGTAATAAGTGACTCGCACATGTGCTTGTTGATTATTGATTCACTTCGCGTCCACTTATTAGAAATAAATTAAAATTCTTAAATGGAAGTAAGTAGGTATTTGTTCGAAGATTTATTTTGATTGTTTTCTTTACATGATGAACGATTTTAACGTTTTAATAAAATTGAATACCCGAACGCTTACAGAATCATATCACAACAACTACTACCCATCTGTTTTGTAATGTTTCTTTGGTTAGCAGTGTTGATAGAAACGGTGATTTTGGTATTCAAATTATATTTCAGCTTCTACTCAACCGCATCTTAAATTTTATGTTTTGCATCATGGAGTCCTATTGTAGATAAAAACAACGACCTACTGATATTGTCATTATTATTGTCACAGATAATTTTATCCAGCCTGTAACATGTAACTTATTACTTAAAGTAAATGCTTTGAAAATATATAATGCCGCATTTTTAATTCGCCGTATCCGTTTCATTGCAAACTGATTAATTTATAGCATCCACGCTACCTTGAACTATATAGATGGTTACATCCTCGTTCGGGTTTGTTTAAAAGCAGATGGCTCAACAACAACGTCAATTTCTTCTAATTTGTTGTTTGGATTACTCAGCAATCTTTATGCCACTTACGCCAAGGATCGGCTGTTTTTTTAACCCATATAGTTTATAAAAACCGTAAAATTTACCGTCTGTTGAAAAGACGATTCCGCTTCAACTACTGTGACCGATGAACTAAAAAAATCATGAGGAGTAAGAATTAACTTGAGAGTTTTTCCCAATTGCTTAAAAAACGGTACAATGACTTGACACTATTCACTCCAATTATGTAATACGAATATACAGTGTCGTCATGCATCTTATCGTTAAATTAAATTTTATTTTATCTTACAGCTAAATAATAAAATCCTATTGATATCCAATAGTAAGAAAGATGTATTCCACTCTTAAGAGTCATCGTTAATCAATTTTGACGGTGAAGTCAATATCATTTTTGCATAATATGAAAAATTAACTTTGGTAAAGGTCTAGATGATGGGTGGGTGGGATCGAAAGAGGAGATGTTGCCCACCACTATACCATAAAAAGTTCGTGGCGGTCTCACCCCCCATAAAAAGTTATGGGGGTTGAAAGTTGATTATTTTGACAAGGTGAGAAATCGAAAGAGGGTGGTTACTTGAACAAAACCCGATAACCTAACCTAACCTAACCTATTGATAAAGATATTTAAATAATGTTTTATATAACTTTCTCAATATTTTTATGTATTTTTCATTAGTTTTACCTTTGAATATTGTTTAAGAATGACTATATAAATATTTACATGCCTAAAAATGTATAAAAATTGGCATAGATATTTATTAACTTTGAACCCCCATAACTTTTTATGGGGGTGAGAACGCCACGAACTTTTTATGGTACAGTGTTGGGAGAGACCTCCTCTTTCGATCCCACCCACCCCCACCTCCTTCGGGGGTGGGGGCCATCATCTAGACCTTTACCAAAAACAGAACTGAATGTACCATGTACCATTAAAGTTTTTCTAATAATCTTATAAACAAACAATTTGAACTATCTTATATCTAGAAAACATGTTAGATCTTGTTGTGTTTATTAAGTTCTCTAGAATTTATTTGTGAAACATAATACACATCCCATAAAAGTTGTTAAAAGTGCCATTGGCAGCAAGCAAAGCAGCGAGCAAAGTTTGGTCACGATGATTTACAATACGCTAAAAGTGCCATCCACTATCTGTTATATTAAGAGGTGTTAAATTATGTGCGCAAAGGTCTAACTAAATAAAAAAAGGCTGGTGTAAAATCTATTTAGGTATAAACAGATTTTGAAGTGCTATTTATTGGGCTGTTCGCAGTATTTAACATACCTATAACCTTGAGTAATCTTTACAACATTTTATTTCATCAGTGAAATTTAACAAATAGTTTTTATAAGCACAAAGTCAAAAATTATAAAGTTAGTGTTTTGTCTTCATTACAATTTCCATGAAAATTGAAGAAAATCTCTGTAACCTACGAATATATTATCTTTGCAATTATATTTCTGCAATGTCTTCGAAAATATCTAAAAAAAAACGTATAATACAAACCCTCTTTCGAAATTGAATCCCATTTTTGGTCACTTCCATGTTATACTGGTATTTCGTAAAATAATGATCCTTACAAATCACTTTTATTGTAGGTGTCAGAATTAAATAGTTACCACTTAAAGAGACATTTTAAAACATAATAAACAAGAAATTTAGTCTGTTATTTCTAAATAAAAGTGCCGTAACAATAGCAATTAAAAATCGCCCGTAAATCTCACATGTTTCGCTACTCAAACTACTAAAACTCCTGTTATGACATTAATGTTTGGTTTTATTGCAATTAAAATAAATCTGGGTGTAGTGCACACTGCTATTATTGTACATTAACTAAATTATTGTGGAGTAACAGATATTCAAGTAACAATTACATCTGCAAAACTTTTACGAATGAATACCAAGTCATTAATTTAAGAAATAGAATGTAGCTACATGCTGTTTTTTCACTTTCAAATTTTAGGAAACTTATATTAACTCAAAGTTTTTACCCCTAAACTTAAATATGAGAATNTGACATTAATGTTTGGTTTTATTGCAATTAAAATAAATCTGGGTGTAGTGCACACTGCTATTATTGTACATTAACTAAATTATTGTGGAGTAACAACATCGTGTAACGTCGGTTTAAATTATGGTTTAGTAATCTTTAATTGAATTTTATTAGGGCTTGGGCAATAACTCAATTAAAATATTAAGTAGTATACATATAAATTTGTTACGATAAACGTATGTTGTTATTACATTTAATGTAATAAAAACATTTAAATATTAAATTCTTCCAATGATGGTCAAAGCTAGTCCAAGACTAAGACTGTCCCAGTTCCAGACCGGAAGTAATAATTTTTCGTTTAGTCTTATGTCTTGTTGGTTCTGTCTTGGTCTTGTTCGCTCGGTCTTGGTCTAGCAAGACTAAGATCAAGTTTAAGTTATTGGAGCAATATAATTGCTGTGAATGGAAACTTGACATAATCAATAAATCTGAATTATTAGCCATGATTTACCTATAATAATTAGTTCAACCCAATTGATCTACTCCTCTGATGGAATAATTTTTCTCATATTTTCAATTCGTTAAATCTTTTTAAGTGTTCGACATTTCTTGAATTTGTATATACTTATAGCAATGTTTAGTCTATCCGCAAATAAAATTTCATTAAAGTTAAAAAATGTTTTCGCTAACTTGTTGCCACATTCTTATGGGAGATCTCGACGTTTTATGCTGAATGTACCTAGGAGGTTGTTACTTATCCAATACAAAAGAAAAACTGAAACTGTTGCCATACATTTACATATTTATTTCTAAGAAATAATAAGTAACGCAGTCAGAAGATAAGAATCGTAACACTTG